TAAAAGGCGGGAATCTCATCAAACTCTGTTGTTATACGCGCTGACAGATTGAATGGTAGAGACGTTAAACGTGGTATTGACTATCACAGAAGCACAAACGTCGACATACAAAGCATTGAAGCGCCGTCCGTGGTGGTCAATATGTCGGGATGCATTCCGTTGAAGATCACCTCGATGTGTGGCAGGTATCGTCACCTTGAGAATTTCTCGTCAGATCAACATGTGATTCCTGACGTGCAATTCGGCTTTCGATCTGAGCATAGTACGTAGCTACAGGCAGTTAGACTAGTGGAGCATGTAACCAGGGGATTTACCCTCAACAGAAGTACTGGTATCTTGCTTTTAGGTGTATCAAAGGCATTTGACAAGGTGTGGCACATGGGTCTCTTGTATAAGCTCATCCAAAAGGGTTTTCCATTTTGGCTACTATAACTGTTGGAGTCTTTTCTAGAAGCAAGGAAGTTTCGGATCAAAATTAACAAAACGGTCCGTAAGCGCCGGTGTTCCTCAGAGTTCGGTCTTAGGATCAATCCTTTATTGACTTTATATACATCACGTCCCTTGCCCCAGCAACTGTGAAGCCTATCGTTATGCTGACGATACAGCACTGCTAGTCCAGTCTTGTTTTGGTAACCTGGTTTACGGCAGGCTGCAGAGTGCGGTGGAGGAAGTATTGGAGTGGGCAGATCGGTGGTTGATCAAAATGAATACTTCGAAAACGCAGGCAATCTATTGTACAAAAAACGTCACGGTGCCCCATCAGAGATATCAGTGAACGGAACTCGTATACCATGGTAGCAATCTGTCAGGTACCTTGGAGTCATCATTGATAAGGGCTTGACCTGGCAGAAAGATACTGATATTTTGAGAACAAAATTCCAAATTACCTTTCGGAAGCTTTATCCTTTTTGTGCAGAAACTCAAAATTAAGTTTGATTGACAAGATTCGGTTGTATAGAATGGCCATAAGAGCCGCAATCACCTACGCATGCGCGGCTTGGTGTTTTCTTGCCAAGACGCACATGCAGAGACTGCAAGTCCTGCAAAACAGAACCCTACGCACAATCACTAACGCCCCTTGGTATGTGCCAAATGGGACCATTCACAGAGATCTTGATATCCCATATCTAAGGCATTATGTAAAACAACCCTCTGTTGCGTGATTCAGCAGACTTCACAGTCCAGCAAGTTCGCAAACATTCCAGGCCGCGCCTCGTACTGTGATCAAAATTAAATTGTGAATTTCAGACCAACCAAAATTATTTCAGTATACAAACCAATCAAAATTATTTTTTGGAGTTACAAAAATATTCGAGTAGGCAAAGTAATAATGCTTAAGATATTTCAAATGATTTACTTCTTTTCTTTGCTCTATTTCTTCTTTCCTTTCTTTCATTTTTTCCCTTTTCCCCTTAAACATGTTTGATATCTGGGTAGCCAGACCTGACAGACTAACAGACCGACGAGACTTTTAACTAAGAGCAAAGAACCACCGGACCGCTCTGACGAACAATGACGAATAGTATCATGTCACTCATTTCTGTCGGTATGTCTGTCTGTCCGTTAATCCTTGGCCCGTCTATAACATGAGAAGTACCTCTCGGATTTCTATGAAATTTTCCAAAAAGGTTGCTACTATGCCAAGGACGAATAAACTTTGTAGTTTTGTAAAATCCAGTGGCGTCGGATAAAAAGGCATAAAATGAAAAAATAAAAATCGCTCAAACTTCGGTTTTTGACGTTTCAGAGAGTCCTAGACATTTTCAGAAAAAGAAATTATAGGGGTTATAGTTCGGGTGTTGGGCTTTGTAGAGAATGTGGGAGGATATATGAAAAATATGTATGCGCTCCCACACTTGGGAATTATTTGCTCCTATTAGCCATATCTCACACATCATAGTTTCCCCGCACAATTTGCCTTTAGAACAGAATGAATTAGAAATGTTTTCATATATATATACAAGGACCACCCACGGAATAAACGATAAGTCGCTGCAACGATGGTGCGTTGGGCGCAGATGTGGAAAGTCCTTGGATTAATTCTATGGGCCTGTTTGACTTTTTTATCAGAGGATTTAAAACTGCGCTAAAGGGCTGCATTGCTCTCTCAAGAAACATATTAACATCTTCATAGATAGTTTGACGTATACGTAGTAACCTGACTTAGGATCTAAAAGGTCAACCTACTTGGCACCATTAATGTTATCCTTAATCGGTAGATTCCAGAACACTCAGTACATGCCTCCATCAAACATGCATCATTTGTAGTTACAAGGGTCTACAGCTGACATTTCAAAGCACAAGCTAACACGTCCGTACATGTAATCAAAGCATGCAAATTATTGTCGTACTCTATTACCGTAAGGTCACTTGGTGACCTTTGAGCTTTGAAATATCAGATGAGTACAAGGTGGATTGGAAACTTTTTAATCACCTCATTTTGAAGCTGACATCCTATTAGTATTCGGTACTGAGATGCAATATCGTGAACCGTGATTATTTATTCCACTGAAAATATGCCGAAGATTTTTATCATTCGTCGTTATTTCAAGTTGGAGATTCTTGCATGTCCGTAATTAATGCTGAATTCGTTACCCTTTAGCAAATATGAAATGTTCCCCTACGTAGACGCCCGCCGTGGGGAGCCTGGATGGGCTGTGTCCCCCATGGGAACCAGGTTGGGCCTTGAAATTTGCATATTTAGTATGATTTTGTGTACAATTTTGAGGATTTTTAGGACTTAGCCCCCTTGCTATCGCCCGCTCTTCAAAAAGTTTTTGGGACAGGTATCTACACTTTCATAAAAAGTGATCTCTTGCAGATGATCACCCCCCTCCCCCCTGAAAAAAATTCTTGCGGGCATCCATGACAACTCAATATATCCCAGTTGCACGGAGGAGCCTTCCGAATATAAAAATTCCGGTAGTTTTAATATTGAAGGAGCTCCAGAAACTATTACTTCTTTGGTTCGACAAACTGTTTAGTTAGTAATAGGCATATATTTAGTATTTGCCCGGTTAATGTTTATTTTTTCATACAAAGTTATTCATTCTCTTCGTGCCTTTGAATTTCAGAAAAGGCAGCTAAAATAATCAAGATACTAGTAAGTGTAATTTTTCACGTACTGGTTTAAGTAAAATCTCAAATGAATTACTGTTCAGAGAGCTTAATACACAATATTTTTCTCTATGTCGATCCAGTATATTGAACTGAGTGCCTATACCGTAGTAAAAGCCAGCGACTGTTTTATTATTGAATGCATTAAAGACTAGAGGTCGAAAAACTCGTGCATTTCCATACATTGTAAGGAGGTTTTAATTTAAAATAGTAGTTTTACGAAAAAGCATTAGCAGTATACCACACATATAGACAAACGTAATAAATCTTTATGAAAAACTCGGGTCCAGTAGGTTGATTTCAAAATTACATCTCATAGCTTGGGAAGTAGGGGTTTGTAAAAAATTTGTGAATAGACATAGGGGAGGCCTAATAAGATATAATTGTGAAATCGGAAGTAAGTACCAATCTGTTTCGGGATTTCCCTTAAAGATGCACAACAGTCGAAGTGCCATTGGCGGTTCCACAAATATGAGCTTACGATACAGTGAGAATTCACATTTATCAAGACCAATATCGTCATTATGACGAAACAAATTTCTAATGCACCTTGTTCATCGTAATCATGAATATACTACGTATATAAAAACAGTGCGCTCAAACAAGTATTTAAATTGTGTTGGAATACTAAACACAACATCTAAAGCACACCTATGTTTTTCACTTTCTTTAAGATTCAGGACCTATCACACTCAGATAAAATGAAACGGTAAAATTTCGTGTATCTAAATCCTGAGCATAAATATACGAGTACATTATACGTACTTGAGCTGTAACCTCAGTTTAGAAATTGTGTTTCCATATCATTAGAATCCAGTTGCTATTTTTTACATCGGCCACTTCAAGATTTTGAAATTACTATGCTAGCAGTCTGAAGAAATTTTATATATATTTGTTTCTGTTACAACACTGCACAGCATAATCATACCATTACCATTTCGTAAAATACTATACTCTCGCTTGCCAAAGGTGGTCAGCATTTCAGTCTCTGATAGCCCTTTGTGGCTAGCTAGCTGTTTGGTGCAAAAGTATAAAAATTGTGTAGCTCAAGTTATTAGTAAAACATTACGTAACATACGTAGTCCTAGAATTCGTGTAGCATACCTATTTATGGTAGCATATTCATATTGTGCCTTTACTTATCCTATACAGGGTATCCTGAAAGTTGAGACTTTTCTTTTCAGAGTCAACTACGTTTGAATACCAAAGCTAATTTGCGGCACAACAACACCGAAAACAAAAAGGAAATTGAAGAAAAATACTTCCTATTTATTTGGTAAGGAATTTCAAGTACTGCCGCGTCACATCTTTTGTAAACACTGCTTGAAGTTGTCAGTGTTCTATTCAAAAACACAAGTTTGTTTACCTCTTCCTACATTTGCAACATTTGAGCCTGTCTGGGTCTTCAACTGTCTTCAAGCACACCGCTTTTGCAGGATATACACAAACGTATGCAGCTCTGAGAGAAAGAAATATCGAGGACGACGGCGACGTTCTGAGAACACTCGCGGAGTATCAATATGATCTTGAAGATCTCCATATCCAATAGACAACTAAGTGATTGTTCCAGGAATATGCCATTTTGGGTTTCTTAACTGCGGTTTGTTTATACACTAGGTTAACATACTGACTCATCTATTGCTTTTTGGAACCTAATATCTTGGATATCTTAAAGGTTTGGTATATATATTTTTAAAAACATGCTTATTATTACCGTGTAAAGTCCCAACTTTAAGGACACTCCGTATTACAGAAACTTTATTACTCAGTTGAACCATACTTTCTCTCCATCTTCATTCTTTTGAAAAAGGGAAGGTATGCTTTCGTATTGTATGCGGTTACGTTTCAAATATGCAAATAATACAAACAGGAAATCTCCATACTTGGCATGCAAAACATTGGCAACTGTAGCAACATACGTCGAGTTTCCGCCTGTCCATTTTGCCCGGTCTCCAGAGGAGGCACTAGACAAGCCGATTCCTCACACATCTTTTTGTCAAAAATGTTTCGCTCTCTACTTAGCTTAATCCATTATTGTTAGTCGTGATATGTATCGGTTGCATTCCTAGAAAGAAGAGGTCCATTAAATTTAAAATAGTTATTCGTGTATTAGGAACACAATAACATTAATAATAATCCATATTTCCACAGGAAAACAGACCATTATACAGGGTGACTTTGAAGTTGAGTCATTAATTTTCAGATAATGATTGTAGAAGGAAGATAAACCAAAATATGTGTGTAAAAATAAAAAAAATCAAAAAAAAATGTTACCTTGTTTTATAAAGTATCCTCCCGACAAGTATTTCAGTGCGGACCTGTATTTGATCGTGCGGTCTTGGAGCACCGGCATGGTCTCCCCTGTGAGGTCTTAAGTCACCTGATTCACAAACCCTTTGTGCTACATTAACAAAGGCACGAGGGGTTGGTTGCACTCGATTGGGAAACCGATTCGCACAAATCCGTGATGCCGCGGCAGCATTTTGTAAAGACTCCCCCCCCCGTAAATAACAATCATGTCCACAAGTTGAGCATTTTCGTAAACATGTGCCATTTTTTATTTCGTTTGAGCCACGCAACAAACACCACTATTCACTCACGCGTTACCGAATGACGAAAAACATCGTGATAAACGTTTCAAATTCTTTCGCTTTTTTGTTTCCGATGCGATGAACCGATATATCCGTTGTTGCCAAACACGAGCACATAATATTATTGTTGAGAGAGGGCGGTACTCAAACTTCTAAAGGGCGATAACATTGTTACTTTAATTTTACCAGAAAAATGTTAAAGGAAAAAACATTTCTTTTGATCAGATCTACTCACTGTTAAAATAAATGACTCAACTTCGAAGTCACCCTGTATAAAAACGGATTCGATAAAAGAATATAAAAACATTCGATAGATACTTTATTGATCCCTTTGATCATCCCATACATACAATTTACCTAAGCACAGGAAAACGTACCCTTGCTATGTTTGTCTTATAGAAAAATAACAGATGTAAAATAACTAAAGCATACTAGGGGAGACACAATAAAGCTAATATTGCGATTACTAAGAAGACACAAAGACAACATTAAAAGTTGATCCTGGTAACTTTCACAGCATTCATGTCATCACCCAACCCGTTAAGATTCTAAATGCCCAGGTACAATGGCGAGTGACGGCCAATCCTGCATTGATAATTTGGTAGTATGTATGTAGTTATTTTCACTACGAGTGAAATAATTGTTACAGTCTTTAGGCTGCGTTAGGTGTTCTTTTTTATTGTACACATGGATAGGCAACTTAAGCAATACAATGCAAGGTAAAGTTTACAGTTTGTTCCTCTTAAGTAACTCTATACATGCTGCATCTATGGTAGCCTTGTTATTGTTCTGATTATTCTTTTTTGACAAACAAACACATTTTTAGCCGCAGTAGAATTGCCCCATAACGCAGTCCACATGACACTTGAGCATGGAGACCTGTTGAAGCTAACCTACATCAACAGTATTCCTAAGATTTCTAATTAGCACACAGAATTAAGTTTGAAGTTAAGAGCGTCACAATGGGCTTTTCAGTTCAAATAGTCATCTATTATTACGCCTAAGAATTTTATATGTGAGGTTTTATTTATGACTCTGTCATCTACATGAACATGAATATTTGTGTTATAGTTATGAAATGTTATCAAACTGGATTTGGATGGATTAACATACAGCAAATTTTTGTCAAACCAGTCGCACAGTAGTTTAAATCCCTTATTCACTTTAACTTCAGCTAAATTTATGCTTTTATCTGATATTGATGCTTTGCGTCATCAGCAAAGACGTAATAAGATCTAGGTTATCTGTAGTACGATTCAGAAAAAGTACAAACAAAATAGAGCCCAGGATGGAGCCTTGAGGCAGAATTGAGTAGCGCGAAAGTTGTACTTTTCAAGCTTCCTTGTTGGATGTGTTAGAGATACATACTGTTTTTCATCACATGGATAACTTTCAACACATTGTAAGGAATTACCGTGAGTACCATATTTTACAGCTTTTGTTAATAGTATTTGATGCCTGATGCAATCTAAAGCTTTACTTGGGTCGAAGAATATTCCCACAGAATATTCACCAGATGCTATATATTTCACAAGATCATCAATAATCGCATGTATGGCATCGCCAGTGTCACATCCTGAGCTAAAACCAATCTGATTGTCAATGAGAATACTTTTTGCTTGTAAAAATTGAGTCAGCCTGTCCACGTAGCAATATTCAAAATATTTTGAAAATGCTGGTGACAACAAAATACGACAGTAGTTATCTAAAGCAAATTAGTCGCCTTTTTAGAGACTTGTACCACTTTACTGGTCTTGAAAAAAACGAGGAATTTACCCTCTCTAAAAGAAAGGTTGATCAGATATGATATACTAACGGTTGAACGATTTCCTTTATGCTCCTTTCAACAATAAGGCTTAGAGATGGGTTGGTAGTTATCTGAACATATTCATCACCTTTTTTGAAGGCTGGTACGACTTTGTTGGTCTTAAGTAAATCGGGGAATCTGCACTCTCCAAAAGATTGATTAGATATACTGAGGGTTTAGCGCTTTTCTGTATTCTCCTTTTAAACAATAAAACTTGGAATGCCGTCAGAGCATCGAGAAGGTTTTGATTTCAGCTTACTACCTATTATTAAAACCAATTCATTTTCAACGAAAAGAAATCAAAGCACTGTTGCATAATTCGTTCTGATTTCATATTTATATTATATTTTATAAATACTCGTATATGGTGGCCCATCCATGTGTGGACGGAATATTACTCATAAACAAATACATTCTGGGAAAATCTATTTATGGGATGATATACATGACGTTTGAGGGCACATTTCCAAAATATTGGCTGTTATACAGGGTGTCCCAATTTCGACTTACATATAAAAGTTGCGATTTTTCATGGAATGGAATGCCTCAAATTTTATTACATATTTGGATAAACCAATTCAAAAGAAGAAAATTGATATAACATACTATGGAGTTTTGGTAATTAGTTACTGAGATATAAGGTGTTTTGTCTAGAAAAACTCCCCACTTCGGCAACCCCTCAGTCCGCCATTTTGAAATTTATAGTACCTACAGAATTTTGTTTAAAAAAAACTTACACACCTCAGCTTTTTTATTATTTGTTACTTTTTCGAATTTTAATTTTTGCTCATACAGGGTGGTAAAAAACGCAAATCGTAGTTTTTCTCAAAAAATTCAAATCTGCGTATGAGCAAAAATGAAAATTTTGAAAAAGTAACAAGTAAGATAAAAGCTGAGGTGTGTAAGTTTATTTGATACCAAATTCAGCACTCCAAATTTCAAAATGGCGGATTGAGGGGTTGCCGAAGTAAACTGTTTTTCTGGACAAACCACCTTACATCTCAGTAGCTAATTACCAAAACCTCATAGTATGTTATATCAATCTCCTTCTTTGAATTGGTTTATTCAAATATGCAATAAAATTTGAGGCATTCCTTTTAAGAAATCACAACTTTGATATGTATGTCACATGTCATGCATAACATACCATTTATAGATTTTCTCAAAATATATTTGTTTATGAGTGATATTCCATCCACACATGGATGGGCCACCCTGAATATATACAGGGTGTTCCACAGAACCCCCAATTACGTAGCTCACCCCAAAATAATGTCTCCCAAAACAAATCTAGACCCAATTTTACTCTTGAAGAATTATATAATATTGATGGTCAACAGTCTATGAATCAGTACGATTCTTCTCTTCCAAGTACATCTCGCGACTTCTCAAGCAATCAGTCTCCTAATGCATCAGACGAGTTTTTTCAAAGAGGAGCCTCGGAAGCACATTTCCTAAATTCGAATTAATGAACACATCGTTATCGCCAAGCGAATTACCCTATATTAATTTTCCAAAAATGAATTTAAAAATACTGATTGATACTGGCAGTACAAAATCATTTGTCCGACCAGAAATAGCTAAAATATTTTTTTCAGAAATCTATAATTAAAGACCTTTTCCAAATTTCCACGGCACATGGAAGTTCGGTAGAGCACTATAGTACTACTATACCCTGCTCACATTTTTTTAATACAAAAAGTGGTAACTTATTGAAGTTTTAGTTATTTGATTTCCATAGCCACTTTGATTGTTTGTTAACAGTAGACAATTTAAAATTATTGCAAGCTCACATAGACTTGAATGAAGGTTTACTTATTTTGCTTGAAACTACAGTAAAAATTCATTTTCACAAAGCCAAGGATAATGAGGAAAGTAGTAATTGTATCATAGTACAGTCAAGAATAGAACAGATTATCCAAGTCAATGTAGCTAATGTTTAAAATGGCGACGTAGTCATTCCATATAGGAAAATTCACAATTCAAGAACGGCAAAGCCATTTGTTCCATTTTAAACTCTAATAAATCTGATACAAAACTTACTGCATTAAAACCATCATAGGTAGAACAACTCGCGGATTACGATTTTTCTACTAGACCAATGGGTAGTAATTTACATAATTTTAATACGGAAAAAATTAAATTTAACCTCTCAAAGATTCGTTCAGAGCACATGAACCCAGAGGAAGAACAAACCATTTTCAAATTATTTCAAGAATTTTCAGATATTTTCCACTTAGAGAGAAATAAGTTAACATTTACTCATAAAATTAAACATAAATTTCGAACCGTTGACGAAATACCGGTTTATATGTATAAAGTTATATAGGTACCCGGAAGTACATAAAAAAGAAGTACGGGAACAAATAAATAAAATGTTAGAACAAAATATAATACGCGAATCATCAAGCCCTTCGAATGTTTCCTTGTGGCTGGTCCCTAAAAATCTAGACGCTTCCGGTAAGCAAAAATGGCGCATCGTGCTGGTGATAAATATCCCCTCCTAAATGTTACAGATCTTTTAGATAAGTTAGGAAAATGCCAATATTTTACAACATTAGATCTTGCTTCGGGATTTCACTAAATTGAAATGGCCGAAGAAGATATAGAAAAAACAGCATTCGGCACTGAAAATGGTCATTGTGAGTTTTTGAGAATGCCTTTTGG